CTTATCTCCATCTATTCCAATAGAGTTAAAGCGTTTAATATTTTTGGTACAAATCAACTGTCGTAGTTCATCCTTTGTCGCATTTTCGGCAATAAGCCGCAAGCGTGCTCGACGATTTGACGCTATGTAACAGGTCAGTTACACATTTACTAGCTTTGAACTTACTATACAACGAGAGCTAGAACGATGACTGGGGTTTTTCGTGTAATGTCTTGATAGCGACTGTTTATGTCGAAATGACTCAAAACAAAATTCCATCGTGAAAAAAGTTCCCTTCTGAAAAACACGTGTATATTTAAAGTGGAAAAATGTTTCATATGAGCATTCCGATACTTAAAGTTTTATTTCTATAATAATTTTGTTTAGTTATGTAAATAAATTCGGCACGACTTGAACTGTTTGTGTGAGTGAAAGGCGAGCTGCGGGTTTTCCCTTTTCTTTATTAACACTTTCAAATATGACCGCTTCACAAAAATGCACGGGCTCACTGGCTTACAACSTTGGCGAATTCATATGCAGGCCTGGTCGCAAATCAATCACCCAGATTCACGCCTCACGGCTAATTTTTTCGCATTTTCACGACTAACGGCTAATTTTTCAGACGTTTCACGGCTCACGCTTAACCCCATTGAGACCCTCTTAGTTGCATCGAGTTTTGCGCTGGACGAGGCCGAGATAAATTTGGGCGTGGTCGAGCGCGTAACTCGAATAGCGCGTAACTCGAAGTGCGTAACTCGAAGATTACCCGATCTCAATACTTTTCGAAATTTTTTCACGCACGTCAAGCTAGCGCCGATGACCCGGAAATTACAAAGAAATGTATGGAAAACTAAAAATGAGTTTACTCGCGCTTAGATCAACTAGAGTCCTTCAAAACTGCCAGTGTAACTCCTTTTCGTAGTATCTAACGTTTGAAATTAATGATTCTTTCAGAATAGGAATTTAATTGGAATTATTTTACATCGATTTTACAGTGTATCCTTGTTATTTTGGGAGACTTTGCCTACCCAAACAAAATGGTGTCAAAAACGTCACCTCAACTATTCTCGAAATCAAATTGACAAGCATTATACACCCTTTTAATAAGTCCCGAGGTATTACGTTCTCCGCACTTGACGTCAAATTTATTCTTTTGAATTCCTTTTGTATTGTAAAAATTTCAAAAGAATAAATTTGACGTCAAGTGCGGAAAAAACAATACCTCGGGACTTATTAAAAGGGTGTATAGGTATCAGAATTGAGCGAAATTAAATATTATACTCGTATAAACAAACAATATATACGACAGAAGAAAATTTAAGGATCTTCAACTATTCACTTACTATGCGTCCAACAGTATTTTAAACTTAAAGACAAAATAAATTTGAAAAATCTTGAAAGTCGCAAAATCTTATTATATAGCGCATATCGATAACTGCTTTGGTGCTGACTGTACGCCATGCCCTCTTAATTGAACTGGGCACGGTAAGTTCCACGTAGTGGCTCTCGTTAAAATACAAACTGTATTGAGGTTAACGTGTTAACCGATAAAATCTAACGTTTCGAACGTTTTTAATCGTAGCCGCAGACCAGCAGTTTGTGATATGGGAATCCCAACTCACTTTGCAACTTGAAGTGCTTCGCTGTAGGTTGTATACGCCCAAATTGCAGTAGAAAAACCTGATTGTATGATCGCATTGTGAAAAAGTCCTTTGGCCATTGGGGATAGTATGAGATGATTAACACTGGCACCCCCAGAGGACACACCAAATATGGTAACTATGTTAGGATCACCACCAAACCTAAACAGAAGAAAAACTAGTAATTCATGCGAACACAGAAGGACCAACTTCAATGAATGACTTAGCAGAGATATATGATGGTCCAGTGGTAATTAGGAAATTCGACTTTGKCTCTACAGACCTGGATTCGATTTCCAGATCTGACGATAACGCTGTCTTCTTACGCAAGTTGAACGTCTAAGTCTAAGTGCCGCGTCTGTTCTGAAAGGACACTTGTGAAGGGGACGCAAAAGAACCTACACATCGCTATTTTCGCCGTGGTTTACCAAAGGCTTACGAAAAAAATAATTAGAGTGTTTCACATAACAATAATGCCAAATAACCAAAACAAGCCCTTCCACGGAAGTGAAAACCAAGAATTTATAATCTCATACCTAACGGTAAATTGGATGATAAACTGGATTAAAAAAGGGCATTTCACACGAAGTGCTACGATGTGTAGGCCTTCCAAAAACAGTTTAAAACTTTTGGAAATAACTTAACAAATTATGTTAGATAATTTAGCCTTTTTTCGGAAAAATGAAAAATTAATTCATATTTTACTTTTTGTGTGTCTGACAGAAACAGTGCCAGTGTAGTGTTTTAATTGTGAGACAAACTAGAAAATACTGGTAATACTGGACGTTCATTCAAGACTGCCAGGGCTAAACGTTGTATTGGTTTATTTCAATGTAATAATTTCAGYGAAATGTTAGCAAAAAAGCACTTATTTTGAAATTCTACATCTGCAAGAACATTTTTCTACTGTTGTCGACCGCACKTCGACTCCAGATTCGGAAAGAATTTAAACGTTTATATCAAAATTCTGTCTCCTGAAAACGCGACGCACACTGACAGACCTGACAGTAACAAACTTTGAAAGAAAGATTTTGTACCACATGGGTAGAAACAAAAAACATTGCTTATCACCGATGTCGTATACTTTGTTTTATACATAATATATCTTAACACCGTAAAAAAAGTACTAGGTGAAATAACTTACTGACGTTTCGATCGTTAATCCTCCGACGAAGGATTAACGTCCGAAACGTCAGTAAGTTATTTCACCTACTTTTCTATGGTTAAAATTTATCTTTTTGCACAACTTTTTCTTTAGAAAACACCAACGCAGGTCACACTAGTTTACTGCTAGTTCCCACCATAATATATCTTACGCTTCAATGTTGTCTTGAACCCACTTTAATGCAAAGACTTGGTCCAACATGCCATAGTTTCCCTCAAGGTCACCGTTCTTACCAGTTGYCAAGAAACCAAAAACGTTCAGTCTATAGTTGATAACTACAACTATAACACTGCCCAGCGAGGCTATGTAGCTACTATCATAACTTCTATTTGCTCCMAAAATAAACGCTCCTCCGTGAATCCAAACCATGACTGGTAGTGMAGTCCCRGCTCCTTCAGGAACAAAAACGTTTAAGTTCAAGCAATCTTCGCTCATCTGAGTCACTCGGAATCCTAAAGTGGGTGGTTGGGGACAAACCTTTCCTTTACTGATGACATATTTGACGTCAGTCCAGGGTTCTGGGTCCGTGGGTTTCCCAAAGCGCTCTGCTTTAGCAAAAGGTATACCAAGATATTTTTTAATGGTACCACCAGTATTTARCTGCTTGACCATGCCTCGTAYTGGACCACTCTTGATTTTGATCTCRTCTGTGTATTTCATAGCGGGTGATGTCTTATCTAACAGAACACAGAGGAAGAGAATCGAATGTATTAACAATAACATCATCTTGGAGTATTGAACGCTTGATTGCAGGAAGACTTGCTTTTTAGAGATCAGGAGCGTTGAGAAACAGATATGTCTCTTAATCGACGAAAAAGCGCAAAGAATCAAATGCTAATGGAATGCTTGATAGATGTCGAATGCTGTCGTGCACAACTATGATTGGTTGGTTATATAAGACGTTACTAGCTCCACCCAGTTATGASAGTTTGATTTGAGACACTGCACCACTCCGCTCACCGTTGGTTAAAGGCTACTRTCATGTTATTATCAATTACTGGTATTTTCAAAATCATCTGATCAAATAGACCAGAATGCTTTGCTCATTTTKTATTGAAAAGTGCCATCTGATTATTGTTGGAAATCAATCAGCTTKAATTCCAAGAGGTTTCTTGAATTTTTAGTAGTKATGAAGGGAAGGACAAGAACAACACAAGTTTAAAAACAGCCTCGCAAATTTTATCAATGCTCCAAAATGAATTGAAAGAGCTCRTACGGTGCTAATTAGTTATCGATCTGTCTGCCAGCTTGTCACTCATCGCTGCCGGTTACTATGGTTACTGCTCCCCTTCGCTAGAGTTTTCAAATTATCAGGTTTAAAAAATTATTTTGCGTCTCGTACGATAAGAACCATACCATGTTATATATCATATTAAAGAGCTGTATGACTGAAGAATAAGTCTAGATTACTTAT